GTGCATGTGCACACATATCTGTTGCATATATCACCCAGTGCTGTAGTTATTTCTTTAAAGTCAGCTTCCCCAGATTTGTTCAACAGGTGTTTATTAATCATCTATTAGGTGCAGACACTATGTTAAATGCTAAATTTATAGCAGTGTAAATGACTATAAATGATTCAAAAACCAACCCCTCACATGGTCACCAAAGCAAAAATCAATATAATCCTATAGGTGTGGACACATTTAGGATCTGAGCAAGGAAAAAAGCATGCCAATTTTCCAGGTGTATACTCACCTAGTTTGTTGTCTTAGGGATTTCCCACCCAGCTGTACCCTGTGTATTATCTGAAGTAATTTAACCTGTTGACAATCACATTCTTGGAATAAGTAAATTCTATGCAGGTGAAATTGGACAAACAATACCAGTGACCTCTTTAGCTGCTGAAGTATTGGTCCCAAGGTTTAAAATAATAAGCTGCATTTTTCACTGAGTCTTGTTGACAGACAGTATCAGCAGGACTTGGGGTTAGAAGAAGTATAATCCTCTTTGATGAATAGTTTGAAAAAAAACGATTGTTAAAACTTTTGTAAATATTTTTAAAGTCATACTAATGATTTTAGATAGACTGTGTGAATAATGACACCCACTAAAGATGTATGCGTTTGGCTAGCCCTGGTATATTGAAATTGATTTTGTTACCAGTGCATCAGCAAAAGCACCTTAACATATCAATTTATCATTGGTGATAATAAATGGAGACAACAACCTTCAACTTTCTTGGCCACCAAGTTTATTACCTGAGTGGCCAACAAAGAATTACCCACTGACACTGATTCTATCGAATAGAAAGGCAGTGACAGGACCAGAGGCAGGCAGCAAGAGCAGTGGAGGGGAACGTGGGGTCCTAAGGACCCACAGATTGACACAGCAGGCTTTAATCTGCTGAGCCAAACTGAGTTAGACCAGGCGTCCACGTTTCAGGACCAACTGGCTCAACTCAAGAGCTATTGGGACTCTCCCTTTCGAAGTGCAGCCCCTGGGTAAATCCTAGCACAGAGCAAACTTCCCATGGCTCCTGTGATTCTCTAAAAATTATTTATATGGATAAATTTAAGCACCTGAAGAACAGAAAAAATGTAGTCTTATTTTTATCAGTGTGAGGTGTCTCACCTGCCTCAGTGAATGTGTATGTTTTTTAGTACAAAGATATCGAATATATTAAAAGTATACTAGAATGTCAACTCCAGAAAAGGAGAGAATACAGTTTCCCTCATTGACATTTCCCCAGTTCTAGAACAATGCCTGACACATGGTAGATGCTCAAAAATGTTTGTGGATGAATGAAAGAATGAGTGGGTTCACTAGGTTTCTGACCTCAGTGGACTTAAAATCTAGAAGTGAGGATAGAGCAGGATCAGAAATATCCACAACAGGCACTAGACTTATCGGGAAATCACTCTGTAAGGTATACAAATGTCTAATCACTATGTTATACAGCTGAAACTAATGTAATACTGTATGCCATTGTGGTTGAAAAATAAAAAATTTAATTTAACTTTTAAAATACCCATGCCAAAGGTAGTGATTGTAGCTTGTCTCAAGACAGATAGAAATCATTTAGAAGAGAAAGAGAGAGACAGTCTATGTTGACAAAGAGAAGTCTCATGAAGAAGGAAATTTGGGGGGAAAAGGAGAAAGAGGAATAAAGAAACTGAAAATATAAGAGAGGCTTTATGCAAAAGATCAGTGTTAGAGAAAACATCTAAAAGTTGCCTCTGGTAATATTTAAAACCTGAAGACAGCATGGACCACTAAGAGTATGGAGAGATTTGAGAGTTAAAATATATGAGGTATGTCCAGAATGTATCCAGCCATGTAATATGAAAAGTAAAACATTTATTGAAGAAGATACAAGATACAAGAAACATTGTACACAGGAAAATGACTCCTCAGTCCCCTTCCAAGTAGGCACCTTGGGATGTCTCACAGTTCTCCCAGTCTCCATCAGCTGCCCTGTGGTATTTTCCTGAATCCCATCGATGGTCTGAAATCTTGTCCCTTTCAAAGGTGATTTTAGTTTTGGGAAAAGCCAGAAGTTGCAAAGTGCCAAATCTGGGCTGTAGGGGACTGAGTTACCTGGGTGATTTGATGTTTCACCAAAAAACTCTATACAAGATGTGGTATATGTGTGCATGCCATGATGAAGCTGCCAATCAGCAGTTGCCATAGCCGTGGCCTTCCAAATCATCTGCATGGTTTCTGTGCAGGAATGTTCAAGCTTAATGCAAAATTTGATGCAGATTTGTTGCTCTACTCGCTCAGTCATTTTGAATGTGATGACCATACAGTACACATGTTCACTCAACAGTGTCTACTGTCCCCCACTGACTAGTACAGTGAAGGCGTCATTGTTCACACATGTGCATTCCAGTCCACTCTCCTTGGCTGCCAGGTTACATCAATGCCATTCTTGTTATATTAAAATGGCTGGACTTCTTTTGGGCAGACCTTGTATAGTAGGTACCCAATGTTTGATAGACAGCTTTTCAAAAATCACCCCAGCCCCCAATTTTTTCAATTTTATAAATAATTATATTGATAACATTTTAAAAGTAAGTATTTTAAACCTAAAAGTTCTGTGCAAAGTGAAGAGATTATGAGAAACTCTGTAAATACGAAGGATTATACAGATGGTTTATGAGAACAGTGAACAACAATAAAATCCTTTATGACATTCTTCCTTACAATGTTTGCTTTCACATTACATCAGTCATGAGAAGGACATAATATAGATATACAAGTGAGCTTTCTTGACTTCCTTTTTCATGTAAGAAATTGATGATTTTCTAGGCCTCACTTCATTCTCCTTTTATAGAAAATGTTGGCAAATGATACAGAGGGGATTCAATTCCACAAACTGCACCTGAGCAGGACCTCCTCTGTGGTGTTCAACGTTGTACCTCCACCTTTTCGCTCCATTACTGGCACAGAGTAGATGTTCAATATTGGTTGAATGAATAAACCAATATTTTCTGAGGAGGTCCTTTGTGCAAAGCTCTGGGGAGGCATGGTTTCCATCTTCAAAGAATTCACAGCCCAAGCTGGGGCTGGGATGGGACTGTGGGCAGGGAACAGGCATAAGTAGCTCTCCTGAAAGACAGGGTGCAGGCCTGCTGGTGTGGCTCAGTTGTTTGAAGCGTTGTCCTGTAACTGAAAGGCTGCAGGTTTGATTCCTGGTCAGGGCACATACTTAGGTTGCAGGTTTGATCCCCATTCCCAGCGCATACCAGAGGCAACCAGTCCACGTTTCCCTCTCACCTCGGTGTTTCTCTCTCTCCCTTCTTTTCTCTCAAAAAGCAATGAAAAGATGTCCTTGGGTGAGGATTAAAAAAAAAGACAGGGTGTGATAGCCACAGGCATGTGTTAAAGTAGTATGAAAATAATAAATTATTTAGATATCATTTCCTAGTTCGTGTATTATTTTGTTCATCAGATTCTCTAAAGATGTGGGAAAGGCGAGTTACTTCCTAAAGGTCAGATTGGGTGAGGAGGTGGGGGGGCTACTAATGAGAGGCCTGGAAAGGCTTAGAGGAACAGGGATTTGAATTTGGCCTCAAAGGATGAGTAGTAATTAGATTGAATACTACGATATGCCAGACACTGTTTAAACATTTCTTGCATGAACTCACATAAACCTCCCAGCAATCTCTGTAGTAAGCCCTATCATCTTACAGAAGAGTTAACTGAGGCACAATAAAGTTAAATAACCTGCTCACAATCACCCAGCTAGTAAGCAACAGAGCCATGTAGTCTGGTTCCAGTTTTCATAGGTGGCTTAAGGGTGTTGCAGGTGGTGGGGAGCGACCCAGGTAGAAGGCAAAGCTGAGCAGCCTTGAGGTCAGAGTGTGCCCAGTGTGCGTGGGAAAAAGTCAACTTGTAGAAGGTTGGCAGGGAAGTCTGGTAGAACAAAAAGGATAAAAAGGCAGGAGAAAATGACCACCAATGGAGGATGGGTAAATACACCATACTGTATTCATACCGAGATGTTACGGTAGAATATTTTATAAATGGAAATATCTTTATGAAACATGATTAAATGAAAATAATAACTACCACTTTTAAATCTTACTATTAACCAGGAATTGTTTACTCATTCAGAGACCAGCCTCAATGTTCCTCACTTCCAGTCTGTGAGGTGGGAGCGATTTTTGTGAATGAGTCTGCAACTTAGAGAGAGAGTGAGTTCCTCTTACGTAGGTTATCTGTTTGTTTCCCCAAGCTCTTAACCACCTCACTTTAATGCCTCTCTGTTAAATGCCAAAGGATGATTTAGGAGGTGTGTGTAGTGTGATGTCATTTTTATAAAAAGAAAAAAAAGCCTATATATGGAGGCCATAGGTGAAACTGTGAACAGTGAGAGAGATCACTGAAGAGAGCAACACGAGAGAGCAGGAGCAAGGCTCACTGTCCCCTTCCCCTTACACACTTCCTGTGTTCTTTTCATTCTTTATAATAAGTTAATGACTCTGTAATGATTTATTAGAAAATTAAAAGTAATAATAGAAAATTTAATTATTGAGTTTAGCATATATAATTTTAATAATTAAAAACTACCAAGGGCCAAATGTATAAATTTATTATAGGAATTTGATCCATTTTATATATATTAAGATCTATGAAAGGTTTTTGAGCATGTGGGAAATTCCAGAGAGTAATTGTTGAAAAAGGAAAATATGGGTCAGGTTTTATGCACTGTTTTTTTTTTTTCCACTTTTTATTCCCTTTTATCATTACTGCCATCCCACAAGCAGCCACTGGCATATGACGCTGGACTGAGCATCCTCTGTGGGCAGGCAGGGTGTGGAAACCAGGAGCCAGGCCCTGCTTGCTGGAAGTGGGCCCTGGTCTCTTGCTGGAAGTGGGCCCTGGTCTCGGCAGGCCTGCTGGGCACTGCAGAGTCTGGGCAGCACCCAGGGCAGCTAACTCGTGGCTTGTTCCTCTCTCCGAGCAGATTGAAGAAGGGGGCAAAGCGGACTCCGTGAGCTCCAGACTGCAGGCGGGAGACGAGGTGGTGCACATCAATGAGGTGGTGCTGAGCAGCTCCAGGAGAGAGGCTGTTTCCCTGGTGAAGGGATCCTACAAGACCCTCCGGCTGGTGGTGCGCAGGTAGGCGGGGCTGGTGCTCACTGTACTTCCTACGCCTCTCCCCACCCCTGCACGGTGGCTGGTAGCTGGCTCTTTACACCTCACTATGGGGATCATTATGCCCCCTGTTTTTTCTTTTTTCTTGCATTCTGTGGCATATGAGAAGGAACTTGGGTGAAGACATTTCAGATACTCCCTCTTTCAAAACAATGGCTTCCTAGCAGGTATTGGCTTGGTAGAATCCTTCTTCACTGCACTTCTACATTTCCGGACTTGATGAAAAGAGACCATGATACCAGATATGGTATGAACTCTACGACGCATTGTCTCACTGTGGGACTAGAGAAAGCAATTGGCTTGGAGCTTTAGGGTGACATTCCATTCGACCCCCCTACACCACAGTGGTCATCAAAACAAGCAAGTTTCTTCTTTTGTTTGTTTTGTTTCTGTGGTTGTGATAGTGGTGCTTCTTTTGTTAGAAATTTTGGGTTGTGATTGGTTTTAATGCCTTAAAGTGGGAAGTTTCCTACTCCTAGAAAACTGAGTTCCTCTTGGTGAAGGGAATTTGTTATAGAAATAGGAAGAGAGTCAATTTTCTTATCACCATTACAAACCAAGTGTTTTACATATGTTAGCTCCTTTAACCTGCATGAGCTATCACTATCCCTATATTATTAAGGCAAGAGGTAATGTGGGTTACTGAAGGTAGAAAGCTGATAAGTAGAAGAATGAGAAAAGAGTCTGGATGCCCTGGTTCCACGTCACCACACCACTTGAGTGGCATTACCTATTAAACCCTAGGTCTATACATTTTGCTTTTTTTATATTTTATTTCTTCATTAAACAGCTTTTGGCTGCCTTACTTGGCAACTACATGCTGTAATATTTGAGAACGTTCAAGTTGCCTGGAACTTTAGGGGTCATTGAATCAAGCCGCACCATCGTCAGGTGTGAACAGTTAGCTGGTCTTTTCATCACGCCACAGATAGTCTCTCCTGGGACCCTTCAACCTTGCACGCGTTTATTCCTCAAAGTTGACTGAGTGAGCTCTTGTGTTCATACCAAGGTACTACAGTAGATGTTATAAAAACAGCAGCTCCTCCCAGCCACAAAAACAGTGGTGGCTATGGCCTCACCATGTCCCCAGCTTCTAGTGACTGTCCTCAGTGTGCTGGGCTCTGTCTAGCTTCTCTTCAGAGCCATCTAACCAGCTGCTTCTCTGGTGGCCAGTGATGCAGAGTGGCTCAAAGAACAGATGCCAGAACAGATGCCTGAGTCAGATCAGGTCCAGGTTCAGATTCCAGGGCTGTCATACTCTAGCTGTGTGACCCTGGGCAAATTACCATGAAATGTACCCCCAAACCAAAGATTCAGTTTCCTCATCTTTAAATGGGGATTAAACAACCTACTTTACAAAGTGATTGAAAAGATTAAATGATATACTTGTGGTAACCACAGATGCTGCTGGTATTATTTATATATTATTATTGGTCAAGTTCAGGCATATGCCCATTCCTTGCGGCTCAAAGTTTGAGTAAAGCATACAGTCATCCCATAAGGATGGCTGACTTCTCAGACAGGTGGGTGGGAAGGCTCAGAACAGTGAGGCCCAATCCATGGGCCTGGAAGAGCGTTGAAGGTTTGGAACTCATTTTGGCATTAGAACCCAAAGCTCAACTGCCATTTATCTGTTGAGGACAAACAGAGGAATCCATACTCCTGATGTGTTTTGATGGGACTTTGGTGACAGATGAACCTCTGAACAGGACCACCCTATTCCCTGCATGAAAAGCAGTCATGCTGGCTTCTGGCCACGCCTCCTAGTGGATGGTGACCTGAGATTCTGCAGTACCTCTTTTAGCAGAACAGGAGACGGTCCTGGGGTTGAAGTCTGCCCTTGTCATTTACAAATTGTGTGACCTTGGGCCTACCTATGCCTCAATTTCCTAACATAAAAAACAGAAACAATATTTTCTGCCTCAAAGTGCATCACAAGAATTTAATGAATAAAGTAAAAAAAACATGGCAGATGTGCAGTGTTTGATCATTTCTGTTCATTCTGGATTGGGTTAGAGAGGCATGTGGTAAAATGGAGGAGTATTGCCATATTACTGAACCTGCTGGCTCCACGATTATCGAGAAGCAGCTCCTCCCCCCGCCCTGTTTATTCCCTTGGTGATTTAACATCATTAGGGGGCTGGTCCCCTGCCTAAAAGATACAGAACTTGTTATGACAGTACCCAGGAGCTCATGGAATTTAGGAATGTTAATTCACATTTTCCAAACTCACAGGAAATTGAAGGCTATACAACAGAATATCAATGCATTAGCTCATTTTGGAAAAAGACAACTCTAAGTGGAACAAGTATCCGTCTACTTTGCTGCCCAGGAAAGTTAACTAGGAAGTCTGACCATCAGTGTGCAGTGCTCGCAGACTCAGCATGAAGAGAGGGGTCTGAGGCACCAGTGTGCTGGCATCTGTTCTGCCGGCCAGATGGCCTGTCTCCCCATCAGGGACACCTCTGCCAGGTGGCCCAGATGCCTGCACTGGTGAGTCAAGGCCCTTTCCCCTCTGGATGCTGGGGATTGGGAACCGGGGATCGAGGATCGAGGATCGAGGATAGTGGATCATGCTGCCCAGTGCTCCTCTCCAGTCTCATTTCTTCTCTGCTACTCACACCAAATCCCCTTTCTGATTGACACATTCTTTCTTCAGATATGCTAATATGATCGATAAGGTTACTGAAGAGTCTTTGCACTCTCTGCTTCTGGGGTGGGAAACATTTTGTGTCTAAAATGCCTTTTGATTATGTCTTATCTATTATGTGTTGATTTTTATAGTTGAGCACTCAGAGTTTAGGAAAAGAGGAGGGCTTTACTTCTCACACATACTTGGAGATGGGGATTAGGAATGTGCCTTGGTAGACATGGATGGACATTCCTCCCTGACCTTTGAGGGAACTGGGGAGAAGGCCCTTTGCTCTGGGTTAATCTGGCTTTGTACTTAGTACAGCTGTCACTTTCCTGAAAAATCTTACCTTTATTTATACCTTGGCACATGTCATGCCCTGAGATTTTCATTTCCTTCCAGTTATTCGTGACAGGGTGACTTGTGATATTTCACTCATTAGTTTTCCTTCTTTTCCAAAGTGATGTCTGTACTTTAAAGAAAAGATTGAAGTGGCTTCCAGGAAACATAATTGGAAGCCCTGTTCCCCAGAGAAATATTTTTTTCATGAGATGAAAATTCTATATCAGCAGCTCTGTCTGTACGTGCTTCATTTCTCTTAAAGTGAGTTTTGGGTCAGCTTCCAAGCCGCCATAAAAAGCCAAGAATGCAGAGCACAGTCCTGGTGTTTATATAAGTTTTGAGGGTGTTTTACCCAGCAACCAAAAACAATCAAAAGTAGAAACACCTTACAAGGCTACAATGACAAGAGAAATGCAAAGTCTCAAGTGAGTTGTGGGTCAAAGACCTTTGAAGATCTGCTGACCCAGAAAGAAGGCAGAGTTTAGTCTTCCAGGAGGAGGGAGTGAAGGGCGGTGTGGATGCTGCAAGAACAATGTGTCGGCTGCTGCTGGGTACACAAAGAGGGCAGGTCTGCAGCGAGGGGTGGATAAATGGAGAAGAGATGAGAAAAATAAGAAGTGGGCTGAAGAAAAGACCTTGCTGAAGGAAAACAAACACCTCCCAGCTAAAGGAAAATTGAAGAAGGAAAACCTTCATGGAATGCAAGGACAGTGTAAAGGACGTATGAGTAAATTAGGAAAACAGACACGCATACCAGTAAGAGCCAATAATCCAAGCCGTCTCTAAATCAACAGAGACTTTATTTGGCAGCTGTGTGTAAAATACACGTCTTAGAACCAGGTAGCACTTAAATGCAAACTAATAAAAGAAAGGGCCTTCAGGCTTAATTTAATATTCTTGAAGGTGATACAAGATACTTTCAGTACAGGTAATAGTCACTGCTGATTGCTGATAACCCAAAATTTAAATTAAAAAAAATAGGAGGCCACAATTTCCCTTCAGAACAGATATTGGGATTAATTGTTGCATGTTCATATAAAATCATTTTTTACCCAGATTTGGGACTCAGATTCCTGTCTTGAATGGAGTAATCAGAAAGCCATTGTAGCCAATGGATCTGTAATCCCAGTGCTGACACCCAGTGCAACCCCCACTTTTCTTGGCAAAGCCAACCTCCCAACCTTCTGTACCAATGTGCTATTTTTGCCAAATACTATCCTACTCCTAAAGGTTTTTTATGTGTGTTTGTTTTGTTTTGTTTTAAATTAGTGGTTTGTGGGTTTGTGTGGCAAAGCAAAGTTTTGGGGTATATTTCATGATAACTGTTTTGTACGTGTTTTGGAAGGCTCATGTAAGCCATGTGAAAGTCAGCTTCATTCATTCTGAGAGAGGGGACCTATGAGATGGTGAAGCAGATTTGACATGGCCAGGATTTGAACTCTGATGGCATTAGACACTAGCTGTGTCCATGAGTGAGTCATTTAACATCTCTGATTCTTGCCTCACAGGATCATGAGGATTAAATGAAAAATATGTATGTACAGTATAGAACATGGTGATTAAAGCATGAACTGTCCTAGAAATGGAATGAATATTTGCTAAGAAAGTTACCTTGAAGAGGTCTAATCTCTAGAACACTTCATGTGAGTGAGGGACCCTGTTCATGGGCCGACTACAGTGAGGCGTTGGTTTTCTGGTGCAGGAGGCAGTGTGCCTGATTCTGAGCCACAAGCAGAGGGTGGGGAAATGGGACCCCCTTTTCAAAATGGAATCTTATACTACACCTTCCTATCAAATCTGCAAATTTGACATAGCTTTTCCCCTTCCCATTCATTTACACGATGAGTTTATGTGTTGGGAGGAAACTTTTTTACTGAATATGACTGTGTGTGTGTTTGTGTGCATGAGGGCTAGGAATAGATCACATTTTACTGACAAAAAAGAGATTGAGGAGAAGAGGGGCTGCATTAGTAAAAAACAATAAGCACCT